TCGAATATTATTTGAAGATGTACACTCTTATTAAATGTCTTAAAAGCCTTGATAGATCTTGAAAGTCCTGATAAGTCTTGACAATTTTTGATTTTCTCGATTTTTTTTTTAATTTGTTTGAATTGAAGAAATTTGAATTTACTCTACGGTTAAAAAAAGTTTTTTTTGACTTAAATGTCATTTCTTGGACGTATTATAATTATTTAATATTTTTTATTCTTTAAAATTAAACTAAAATTACTCTCTAAATTTTCTTTAAAATTTATTAAAACATTCAGAACTTTTTAAGGCATTCAAAACTTTTTAAGATATTCAAGACTTCAAAATATTTAAAATCTTCAAAAAACTTTTAAGATTGTATAATTTCAAATCGTATTCGAATTAATTCGAATTTTTCATGATATATTTGAACTAATTCAAAGCATCTTGATGTCCATTATATGCATGCATATATTTCATATTTATAGTTATTCGAACTGCGCGCCGAATTGGTTTTCCGGACTTATAAATGCAATTAAACTATTGTAATAATATCACAAATTAAATTGACAAGCAATTTTTTTACATCATATTGAATTAAAAAAAACCTTGTTAAAGATTGTAGCTCGAAAACTTAGTCGTTTATACATACGTTTGTATATCTTAAATAGTTGAATCTTCGATTTATGTTAATCTTTTTATAAAATATGGTGTGTACTATCCAGCACATAAATGCTGAAAGTATTTTTAACGCTCTGTATATACTGGTTGAGTTCGTACATTAACGTTGTCGATGATGACACAGCAAGTCTCGTGAATATATCGGCAACCCGATGATTGTAACGTAACTCGTACGTGCGAATTCCTCCAACAGATAATCGGTGTAATGATTTTTGTAAATATTGATAACGTTTTTCCATCAGGAGTCTCTGTACCGCTGACAATACCGTTTGTATACCTATATTTCTACTGTATTACATAGTAACAGTTGTCTATTGTTCCGATCGCTCTTTCCGTTGTAGACTCTAATCGTGTCACGCTGAAATCCAATAATCGGTCTAATTGTATCACGAAGGAAAGTATGAAACTCTATCCCGATGTGTGCAATCTTGGCAAGAAATAAACAACCAATTTCGTATTACTCCGGATTACTTTCTCTATACTCTCTGTCTTGTGTGTCGCATACAAGTGTGTGTGTGTGTGTGTGTGTGTGTGTGTGTGTGTGTGTGTGTGTGTGTGTGTGTGTGTGTG